ACACAATACCTCGGGACTTATTAAAAGGGTGTATAGATATTGCCCTCAAATGGGGGCGATATCTAGATATATCGATATAAAGCACGTGAATACACAACGAGCTGGGGAATAAGCGAGATACAACACTATGAATAACAAAGAAAACTGAATCAAGTATGAAATAACCAGCCTTATTTACTGCAGGTCGAGATATCTTTAAATTTACATTTGAGATTGAGGATAAGATGTATTTTATCCTAAAAATGAAAAATGTTTGAATCCTTTACTTTGGCTGTATTAAATATTGACTGTTAGTTCAATGTCTTGGTTGTGAGCTGAAGTAGTGTTTATATTTTGGTTCATTAGTTTACACACCCWAATCCATACTGCATATTGAACAACTATTATAGCTGTTGCTTGCATGCAGCTCATACTAACTTACTGCAATCTGCCTGATGACGATAATAAATGACATGAACTCTGGCTGAAGCGTGTCATCTCATGCTAATTACTAGGTTCTGGATGGGAGCCACTGACAAACGGTTAAGGGGAGTATACGAGTATATCGATGACTCACCATTCAARTACAGGGAAGCTCCGTGGGCTAAAGGCGAACCCAACCGACCAAAAGGGTTTGAATATAATTACTGCATTGTTACGGAAACCAAAGACAAGTCACCAGAATGGAGTGATGAGGACTGCTTTAAGAGCTTTGGCTACATTTGCAAATCCAGAGGTAATTTGATCGAGACAATTTGACGTTAAAGAAAGTTACGCAAACCAGGTGTTATGAGATCCATTTTTAAAATACGGGCGAAATTTACTGAAATTGATTCTATGGGAGAGTCACACCTGCAATAATGGGAACTAGCTAATGAACGTTCATTTGTGAAAGGCCCAATTATAATTATTATTTTTAGAATTTTTAATATATATTGCCAGTACAACAATATTCTTTTTCTTCTCGAATAAAAAATTACTATTATTTCTATTTTGGTTGCAATACAGCACTAGCAACTTGCAGTCTTTGACTGCGTATTTTTAGCATGGCCGGGACATATCCAGGCCCGCAGGCTGTCATACAAATGGGGGGGGGGGTTGCTTTTTCATAATGCAGACCTATAATTAAAGGAACTGGCTGCTAGAATAAGCAGTTCTTAACAAAATCAGTACTATCTCACAAACAGTTCATAACAAAATAATGTTAAAATAGAACGAAAAACCCCAGCAAACATACTATGAAGACTGTCTTTGTAGTCCCCCCCAAAAATACAGGGAAAATGTCAAAATTAAACTAAAATTAAAAAAAGGAATAAAGAAAGAAAGAATTAAAAAAATGCGAGCGAAGAGCAGAGTAACTAAAAAGTCATTTAAAAATGGAACAAAAAGCGCTGACAATTCAATTACTAATAAATAAATTGCTTTGATCTCAAATAGATGCACCGAGGCGACTAAGAGCCGTTCAGCGATTTGGATATTGTAAGTACAATTCCCATGTCAGCTATCATAACATTGTACACGTCGACTTCCTTGGAAAACCGTTTTGGTCATGATAAGAACATTTTTCTTATAACTTTCAACAATTGTTAGTTGTTATATCAAGCGATTTTTAATAACTGAAATTAAATATATAATTTTACAATAAAATTAAGGATATAAATTATTTTCAATAAAGAAGAAGAAAATATTAAACGTCATGAATCCCCAGATTCTTTGCAGGCTTAAGGGGGCTAAGACTGTGGACTGTGTCCTGAAGACGACAATGTTTTTTGAAATAGGTGTATTTCTTGTTGTTTCATAGCTCATGATATATCTTTTTTTATTACAGCTTGGGAGTGGAATTACTACGACTATAAGTTTGTTATTCTACCAGATGACTCAATGACTTGGTCCGAAGCCGAAATCTATTGTCAAGAAGCCGAATCGGGTCATCTTTTGTCTATCTACAATTCAAAGGAAAGCGAATGGGTTACGGATAGAATACGCCAGATTCGACAAGTATTAGGATTCCAAGAGCTTTGGATTGGTGCCACTGATATCTTCAGCAAGGGACAATTTAAATGGACCGATGAAAAACCAGTAAATTACACAAAGTGGCGTAACGGTACCGCCAACATCCTAGCAGCTAGAAAACCCAGGGAGGCTTGTGTGTCGATTCTTGCTCATCCAAACTGGGGAGACTGGAACGAGGAGTACTGCATTAAGAAGCTTCCTTTTGTTTGCAAGACTAAAAGTGAGTTGATATACTTCCTTACCAACCCCAACTTGCGSCGACTTGTAAAAACAACTAATTTCTTTAACCATCTAATTATTATATCAGGGGTTTTTGCAATATATATATATATAATTTGCCACCATTGATAATTTATATGATAACAAAATATTACATGATCGTCTGGAGATACGAATTTTATCTTCTYGTGTTGGAAATCGTTTCAACACTCGAAGATTAAATCCGTATCTCCGCGTGCCTATGTAATATCCCCTATATA